TCCTCATTTTAAAATTAAAAAACTGTGGTTCAAGGAGTTCAGATATATAGATCCAGTAGTTTGAAATATACCATCTCCTTTTATCTCACTCTCATATCCCTTTTGTGAACTTTTTTCTTAGCATTGGTTTGACTCAGTAGTTTCCTTATGATGCCTTTTAGTTACAGAAGAAGGAGATGGAAACAAATGGCTTAAAGGGAACCAAAGGCAGCCAAAGAAGAGGAAGAGCTGCAGGCTGTGCCCTTCAGCCTCAAAGGATCTGATGACACACAGSCCCTGGAGGCTGTCACTACCCTCAGCCAACATGGTGGCCACAGCCACTGTTACGGTGCAGCTGGCCACTCCTCCACCGTCCCCTCTGACAAAATTCCCTGGGAAAGGTCATCAGAGAGACCTTTTTTGGACAGTGTTTTCCAAATATTCTTAACTAATGTAATAATTTATAGAAGGCTTTCACATCTAACCATGGGTGGGGGGAGTTGACCATGTCTCAAATTCAGAAAGATGCACAGAATGATATTTAGATTTTAATCCAATATCTGTGTGCAGAGGGGATTTTTATTTTATCTACTGTCAATGACATGTCTGGCTATCTAGCTATGCCATTGGAGTCAGGTGGTAGATGATCTTAGGTGCCAGCTAGTGTTACTTTGTTCTTGGCTACTCATTTCTTATTCATATTCTTATCAAGTATCTACTGAAAACATTTATTCTATGTCAGATGTGGCACATGCTGGTGACATGTACCATGATAAATGAAGCAAATATGACTCACCAATCTTGTGAAGCTCACATTCTAGTAAAGAATATAGACAGGTGAGCAGACCATTAAAATGTASTACGAAAAGGAGAAATTCAGAGTGCCCTGAAATTATGTGTAGATATATGCCAAACCCACACTGGAATGAAATGACCTTTAAAGATGTCCACATGCCTGTATCTTGATTTCCTGAAGATAATCCTGTGTTCCTCATCACAAAGGAACAAAGCAAATCTCTAGTATGGGGTGTGAGAAAACTTTTCCTTTTGCTGGGAATACAGTAAATGTTCTTTCCCCTGATTTGGAACCAATGATGTCATCTTCATCTTCAGAGGGATGTGTCCAAGKCACCTAAGGTGAAGGCATGCCTGGGGAAACAAAGGGTTTTCTACAGAAATGGTGAAGGGTAGGCAGCCACCTTAACAAAGCTGCATAAACCAGTCTTGTGACTGTGAGTTTCTCTTGGGTATTTCAGATGCTGGGATTGCCACGACACAGAAGAGTGTTTCTGCCTCCCGTGGTAAGTGGAGAATCACTCTTATGAGTGATTTCCCTAYGTGTGGTTTCAGTGTGGTGTTTGCTCTAAGTTACCTGTGAACTCTGGGCTGTCCGTGGCCAYAGTGCAATCCTGGCACCAACCCCAGACCACAGTCACTTAGAGTCRATCTGGGAAGCAACCCTCAGAATCRGGTGAGAAAGAGGAACAGTTGTCTCATGAGTGGTACACTCTCCTCAAACCGGCAAGCCTCAGAAGCGAGAGTGAAACTGGCTACTAATATGAAGACTTTTTTTCACACTGAAAATTCCAGGGTCTCCATGTGTAGAAGCACACCTTTCTGTTCCTTGCACAGATCATTTACAGACAGTATACTAATATAATTTACTATCCAAACTGGGACACCTTTGGAAATGATGAATATGCTAAACATAGTTAATAACTGCTAAGTGATTGGTAATGACATTAACCACTGCGCAAATCAGGCAATATGGTGATCCTCCTCAGAGCAATGCGTCCTTGTCTCCGGAGATGGTAATGGATGTCCACTACATTTATATTCCATTTTTCCAGGAGACCTTCTCTACACTGTGTTCTAATGGAAAAATGTTTAGGAGATCATAGATTAGGACTGGGAATGGCAATTATCCTGGCTCCCCCATTCACATGATATAAAATAAACTATTATTGTATTAGAAATAAACAAATAAACCTCCAAACAACCATAGTTCCCCTATACGTAAATTCCATATCAGGTTTAGAAAAGGGAAGAAAGGGGACAAAGAGAAAAAGGGAGCAGAGAGACATATGTCTATCTGGTCTCATCTTTCATTTTCTCTTTCTTATCCTCTGATTCCTGTAAGCTGAAAAGTCATCATAAAAGTCATATAAATTTAACAACTTAAAGATTTAGAATTAAATTGCAAAGGTTATTGTAATTTCTTTGGAGAGTTTCTGAATATTAAAAAAAAAAACAATTTACTTTTCTCTTTTTTGTTTTTGCAGGAAAAAATTATGTGTTTTTAAAGCAAGGCAAGATTCCCAAAAGAAAAGTAAGTCATTTCCTTCCCATCATTTTCAATTTTGATAGGCATGTTTCCAAACTGTCCCTTCTCTATGCAGTAAAAGCCCTGTGGGCATATTTCTAGGATAATATCTACATATGTTACCTCAACGTATCCAATCATCTGTCTTTTGTCCCTACTGGATTGTGAGCTCACTGAAGAGAAGATAGGCTTATTCATCTCCATAAGTCCTTAGTGTCTGTGGTCTGGAGGATGAAGGAATGAACTGTAGACAATAAATGTAAAAGGTGGAGACAGAAGACATTTATAATGAACTGCGAAAAAGCACAGGGATGGGCAGTTAAAGATTTAGATCCTTGTCATGAGAGCTCAGGAGAATCAGCAGCTACACAAGGGGCAAAGGGGCAGGGATGATGGGCTCTGCATAACAGCAATCATGCTCCTTCTGTGTGGATAACAGTTTTGGCAGGGAAAGACAAGAGCAGCTGCCAAAAGCCCACTCAGGTGGCTGGTGCACTGGTCTCCAGGGACAGATCAGTGAAGTTAAGGAGAGAGACGAATTTGGGAAGGAACAGGCAGTGAATAGCATTACATTTAAGATGCCTTTGCTTTCCTGGGCAGAGGGGAATGTAGTTTATTCACACAACAAATCCTTAAATCCAGCTTTGTAAAGTGTTTAAGTGAATAAGCTTACCCTCCCAGCCCAGCCATTTTACCCCAGGAATGGTGGGTCCCAAGAAATTCTAATCTTCATCAGAGTGAAATATGATATAAATAAGACCCCTGATGCTTACAGTCACAGACCCTGTTCTTTAATGATCATCAGGGGGGTTCTGGATAGCTGTAGAAGCACATGGGGATGTGAGACCCTGAGGAATGTAAATCTGTGCACCGCATGGCAAGCTGCGTGCCACACCTGCCTCCTGTGCAGGCTGCGTGGAGGGCACCTGTTTATTTACAAGCCGGCCCTTTTGCCATTTTGGGGAGTGGGGGTTGGGGAGTGTGGCAGATGTGTTCATTTGCCTTTTTGCTGAGTGGTCAGAGCCAGTCCGTGACAAACAACTGGCTTTTGAAAAACATTCTTGCTTGTGTCCCCATTCCCTGCAGCTTCAGGAAAGGGAATGCTCCCCTTAAGAGTTTCCCTTCTGTAAGACTTTCCTTGACCACAGCCACCACAGGAGCACCATCTCCTGCTGCCSGAAGGACAAGCAATCCCCTCCTCATTGCATTCTGGGTCTCTCCCAGTCTGTGTGCCTCCTAGGCTAGCCTGTGAGCCTCTAGAGGACAGGACTGTTTCTGATGCTTGTCCCCCATGTTCCTTCTAAAAGAGTAGGTATGCAAAGGATTTTATTAAGTAAGGAGAACAGAGGGAGGAAAGCAAGGGGAGTGTGATTTCCCGTTTCTCCAAGTGTGTCTCCTTCCACTTCATCTCTCAGCTTGAGCAAGCTTGGGCTGTTTCTTGTTCAGATAGCTCTGTGACTCCCCAGGGATCTTCTGCAGATCATAAGAGCCCAATAAGGGCACCTCAGCTGCCCCTTGGTTCTCTGGTTGCTGATATTCCAGTTCTCACTCCTCTTAAATCACCTTGAGATGTGAAATTCATTGAGTTTTATTTTCTTTCTCTAGATGAAGGAATGACACCTACTCCTATCCAGGTAATAAGACCTCTTCTGACCCTAACATGGAAGAAGAACTTTTTAGATGCCAGGAATGTGAACCCAGGGCCATATGCAGGGCCTGGTGGCAGAAGTAGCAGCCCCTCTGTTGCACAATTTAGTTTAAGGAACTAATATTTACTGAGCATTTGATTTATGACAAGCAATGTACTGAGTGCTTTAGAGGYATCATCTCATGCAGCTGTCACAACAACCTCATAAAATGGTATCATTGTTTCTCCATCATTTAACATATGAGGAAACAGATTAAGTGATACTTCCCAAGGTTAGACAGCTGAAAGATGGCAGAGCCAGGAACCAAAGATCACTCCAAAATGCATGCTCTCTCCCTCTACTTGGCTCCCTTTGCTTTTATCTTCTGCAACCCCACCATAAGTAGGGCCTTTCCTTGAATTCTTTCTCTTTTTTAAGATGCAATGATCTCTATAATAAGTGATTATATCATAACCCAATTACATTAATATATCATCAGATCATTGTCCTTTATGAGAAAGGGCTGCCCAGGGCCCAAGACTTAGGGAATTATACAAGGTGTTCAAGGGTCATTTTGAAACATGGGGTACAGAGAATACACGTGGGTAGTCTGTGTACACTGGGCAATATGAATGCTCGGGCTACCTTGTCTAGAGGTTGGAGTGGAGGCCATTTTTAGGAAAAATGGCCAAGAGATGGAAAGGAAATGGTAGTAGAAGAGAGACTTTACCCAGGATCAGGCCTGTGTGGAGACTAAAGTGTGAAGGGAATAGCATGAGGCCAAATCTTGATGATGACTCTCCTTTGGCCAGCAGGACCGTGCTAATCAGACCCACACGGAGGAGCTCTGCTATGTCCTTATCCATCATCACAAGGACCAGGGAAGAAGGCCTTCAGGGACTTCTGCTGAGGTGTACTATGAGAATGTTTCCTGCAAGGCTGAAAGACCCAAAGAGTCTTTGGGAGGAACAGAGACTGAGTATTCACTTCTCCGTGTGCCCTCCACTCCTAGGCAACCCCCTTCCCCAGAAGATGAATATGAGCTTCTCATGCCGAGCACAATCTCCTCTCCCTCCCTGAAGCAGCCACACGTACTTCCCTCCCCTTTTGAGACACAGTTTTCCCTTTTACAATGAAGAAGCTGGACTAGTGTTAATTTAGCACCAGCAGGTAAAAGTGGAAAGTGGGTGTCTCTGCTTGAAGCAAGCCTTAGGCAGGAAGCCCTTCTGTGTACAGTTTGCTAAAGACAAGGGCCTCTAAGATCCTGCTCAACATTCAACATCTGAGAGTCAACCAGTCATCCTGAACAGCACTATTTGAGAAAGGAGTGTCATCCTTGGTTCTAAAAAGAACTGGAAGTACTGTGTGGTGGAAAGAGATTTGTGGTTCCCCTGCAGCTCTGTTCACCACGAAATGTTCTTGGATTCTTACAAAATATCATCATGATTGTTATCTGCAGGCACAAGGAAGTTTTCTCATTATATCAAGTGACCCGAGGGGGAAGTCACTCATTGCAGTGACTCAGTCCTACTCCCAATGACAGCCTGAGATACTCCTCTGAGGAATGTCCTTGATACAATGTCCTTCGACTCATTGGTTCCTGTGCCTGGGTTGGTTATGGGTTGAACCAGGAGGGTACAGTATAGGTTTTTATAAATCTTTAACCATGTTTTTTTAAGCTTTATATTTCTCCCCATTAATTTATTTTGGTGGGGAGAGCTAGAGATTGAAACTACATACTAGGGAAGCAAGCTACCACTGAGCTACATCTCAGTCCTCGTAAACCTTAATAAGACAATCAGTCTCAAAAAGTGATACTGCAGAAAGACCTCTGGAGATCCTTTAATCCCCTCATCTTTTTTTGGACTCAGAGAGACTAATTTGCCCATTGGTATATTAAGTTAGTGGCACAACTTTAGCTAAGAGCATGATTTTCCTGGCTTCCGACTCAGTACTCCTCCAACATACTTACAGAAGAGCCTCTTCTTTGTAGTCAATATCTCTATTAAATAGCATGTCATGTATAAAATAGGAATAAGAAGTCTACATGGGAAACAAAACTCACATCCACCCCTTCTCTGATGAGCATGTCTCCTTTGGCCTCGATTATTTATTGTCTCTCTTCTCCTTTTTTTAGTATTTCTAGAATTATGTCTATCCCTAACTCAAGTTCATCACACTGTGGCCCACTAACCGAATCTGTCCCATCACCTATTTTTGTAAATAATGTTTTATTGAGACACAGCCACACTTATTTCTTTGCATTGTCTGCAGTTGCTCAACCATGGAGGAGAGTTGAGTAGCTGTGACATAGACCACAGACCCTGAAAAGTCAAAAATATTAATGTTTTGTCCCTTTATAGTTTTAAAAAAAATTGCAGACCTCTGCYCTACATGATCATATTTGAGATTAACTTAACAGGAACATGTTTGGTTATTGATATAACTCATAAGAGTAGTACCAATAAAATGATATGAAAATATTAAACCACAAATGAGATGAGAAATTAGCAAATTAGGCTATTTCTATATTCACACCTGTGTCCTCCACTTGCTGTTTTGTTTTGCTCATGGCCATTGTCCTAATTTTAGAGAAGTTAAAATAGCAAATGGTTTGTTGAAACAAACAATAGATACATTATATGTTTCATTATTGTTTTGTTCTCAAAGCTAACCCAAGCTCAACTTTGCTATTTAAAACATGGCAAGTGCCCAATGAGGAGAAATCCAGTGGCTTGAGGCTAGGTGATCAAGGCAGGCTTGCTGGGCTTTCAGCCAGCTGATGGTCTGCAGCTAAGAGTCAATCACATCCTGACATCTTCGCTTCTGCTAATCTCCTACTTTTAGCAAAATTCTTTCCCAGGTAACCCTAACTTGGATCTCTGGCTGGAGTTCACTCAGGTTTGAAAGGAGGTGTTCATGGTAGCAGAGAACACTGTGCAAGGTGTAACGCGGCTGGGGGAAGAGTATGGACCCAAGACAGACAACCAGTGGTTCAAATCCTGGTTCTTTCTCTTCCTCTTCTGTGACCTTGAGTCTGTTACCCAGATGCTCAGGTTTTTCACTCACTTGGGAGGATTTACATTTAATATAGTAAGCAGAACCTCTATCATAAACCCCGAATAGAAATCATATCAAAAAGTAAGGAGAAACAGAAATCTTTTATGATGTATGGAGAAGAGCATGCTGATACATCTGGTGATCCAGGGCCACACAGGGACTTTCCAGCAAGGCAAAAACAACAAACTGATGGGTTTTTGCTGGGATTTTTTACATGGATATGAAACCACTATGGAAGTTGGTTGGTTGATTTATTCTTAGTACAAAATGGTAACCTATACGTGTTTGAGTCTTATACTGTCCCAAACAGTATTTGCCTCCCATCAGGACTACATTAAGTATAAATTCCTAGCCAAAAAGAAAAAAAGAAGAAGAAAAAGTTGTTCTTATACTGAAATTAGAAGGATTGTAAAAGGAAATTATTATGTGCTAGAGAACCACTTTGACGTGTTTTGAAATACCCACAATGATGTATGAAATGTTATTTGTCAATCAGAAATAATAAAAATAACTTATTTTTATTATTTAAGGAATGAGTTTAGTACACTTCATGTCCTTTGACTCATTGGTTCCTGTGCCTGGGTTGGTTATGGGTTGAACCAGGAGGGTACAATACAGATTTTTAAATAAATATTTAACCATTTTTTTTAAGCTTTATATTTCTCCCCATTAATTTATTTTGGTGGGGAAAGCTAGGGATTATAACTAGAATATCTCAATTTTTCTAATAAAATTGAATGTTGAAAAAACCCTACTATGTCTGTATGTAATGCTGATCCTATTTTCCAGAGATTTCTAGATTTCTGATGAAAGCTGTATACTCTATTGGTGGAAAATACACACACACACACACACACACACACACACACATTTGTATACAATCTCATTGGGTTGAGGATGAACTCCTTAGTTAAGCAATCTGTGTTCTTGATAGAGACCCCTGGGGTGGAGCATTTACTCTCCCATGTCATAAATACAACCAGAAAACCCCCCATCCCCTGCTCTGGGCTTCAAAGAGTACATGGCCAAAATTCAGAGGTACAATATCCAGCAACAGCAGGCAGGCTCTGTGGTCCCCATTTACATTCGTATGAGCCTCTATAAATAATCTCTTACTCTGGAAAACTTATTTGGGACAAAAGACATAAATGGGAAAGGGGCAAAGATAGGGCAGGAAATCTGTTGAGAAGTTCAAAGGTTGACACCTTTAGGACAAGCAATTTTAGGATGACGGGTAGTTCGAACCTTCTCAGAGATGAAAGGGCACAGGCAGAACAGAAGAGACAAGTCTCTATGACTCCAGGAGGGCCTTCAGAGAAAAGGAGGTTCTGTTTTTCCATGTGTCTGACTGTTCTTTTCTAAGCCTAGACACTTAAGTGCAGACCGTCCACTTGATCTGATGATGCTCTGCTTCTGCCAATTGTTAATGAATCTCTCCCACTTTCTAGAGGACACTTTAGCAAGTGCTTGGGGAAACACTGCGTGGAGGTTGTCATCRCAGAGTCTCCTACAGCCCGCTAGCCACACCTTTCGATTTATCTTTCCCYGACCACTTGTGCTCCTCATAGATCCCAGATGTCAACCCAAACCAGCACTGAACATGACTCTGGGGCACCCATCAGGGTTGGTGGCCAGTCACCATGTGTGGTGAATGGACTAGGCTTTGCCCACAAGGAATAATGGGACAATGGGCTGGTCCTCCTGGCTCTTCAGGTCTTGGTTTCCCAGGTGTAAGATGAGGGTGTTCCCTTTCGATGTTAAAAGTCAATGATTTCTAATCATAAAGAAAACATTAAATTCTGTCTATGGATAAAACTACCCGCAACATTGTGAATTACCTTATTAAAAAGCAATAAAACAGTAATGGGAGAGAATGAGAGCCTTTGAGAGATTGCTCCCGTTTTTCTTTTCATTGATCGTACTCTGAATAGGGCAGGAGTTTATATCAAGAATCCACAAATAAAAGGAAAAGGAGAGAATGTGAACTGCATCCTAAGAAGATACAGACATGTGCAAAAGAGGGCAATTATTCAAATCCCACCAGTGCTTCAGGGTTCAGCTGGAACTTCCTTCTTCCTATGCAAAACCTGCTCCAACTGAATTACACTGACCACGCATTTCTCTGAGCACCCATGACTTACATTTTGTCTTTATTTTTCAAATCTGGATATGTAACCTGGGTATCTTCCCCTGCTATTTCCTCTTTCAGATTCTGACTCCCTGATTATATGAACAGCTTCTTTTTCTCATTATTTTCTCCACAGAGAACCTCGATAAAACATATCACTTAAAAAAATATATAGAAAAAACTTAAATTGAAAAGCAAAAAATAATTGGACACATGGCTAGAATTTTTGGTGGCAGCAGAGACAGAAGGGATTCTGCTGATCTGGCTGTCTCCTTTCTATGCATATCTAGGTGACTTCTGAAAAAGAGCAGAAATTCAAACCCTCCAATGATTTTGCAGATACTTATCGAAACCTCTTCCTGTGCTGAATGGAACACACAGAGAAGAATTCTGCCTACCCCAGTCCAAACAGCTCCATCTTATTCATAAAGAAGAGGAAGCTGCCCTTGGGAACATGAAAAATCACTTCTGACCCCATTTACTGCAAGAAAATGCCAGTCCAAAGCATGACCCTGGAGAGACAACACCCATGAGACAAATCTGAGCACAAAAATGCAGATGCAAAAATAATTTATTGTAAATGTTTTTAAAGTCATTCTCCATTAAAATTCTTCATTATATTCCAAAAAGTACAAATACACTAAAAGATTCATGTTTGACATGTAAAAAATAAAGAGGAAGAAGAAAAATTCACTAATTTAAGGAACTATCCTTATAATGAAACAATGAGTTGTAATACATGTGTCTTCTAGTTAAATAAAAAAGCAAATTCACATTATCCAGAATCCTGGCTCATAACAAGCTCAAGTCACTCTGGCACGCACCCATACRTAGYTGCCTCTCACAGACTTCCACCYGTGGCAGCTAAGACACTGAGATACTGCAGCTAAAATATCTCCTTATAGGACCACACAACTGTTTCTCCTGGAAAATGTGTACAAAGGTATTTTTMTCCCMAAACAAATATTCTATACCTTCACAACAGGCAATTCTATATCCATTGAAGACTGATACAGTCCCTAACATTCCTCCTGCCCTCAAATGACAGACATAAGCTCTCAACAATTTATGCCAAAGGGACATTAGTTCTTCCTGTTTCACAGCCATTGGAGATAAGACACACCATCAATGCCTCAAGACACTGAGTCCCGCAAGAAGGCCAGTAACACAGGTACTACAAAGCACATGTGTGGTATCCACAGCAGAAGTTAAGCAATCTTGACGGTTATTTGATGGAAGTTTATAAAAATATAAAGGAGTGACAATGCAAAATGATGGTCACATGTTCAAAACCCACAAGGACTCATGTTTCCAAAAGAGGTGTTTAGGAGTCACAGGAAGAAGGAGATGTCAAATAATTAGTAATCCCTATCGTATTTCTGTGACTGTGTATGTAAAAGTAACACTGGATGATGTGCTTAAGGCTGGTCTGCTAAGATACCCAGATATTCTGTAATGGTGGGAAGAGTTGGAGATTTCAAAGAGCAATTGGTTGAGTCCTCCCTTGCCTGGATGCTCGCTTCTCCCTGCCCCAACACAGGCTGACAGGAAMCTGTCTAAAACAAAGCACTACACCACCCTTGTGCTAAAGAGAAAGTATCCACACATGGGTAAAGAGAGCCAGAGCCTCAAGAACTGCAGCACCCACACATCAAGTGACCTGCCTCCCCCCAACCCTCCCACCCATCTGACTTCCTGCTTTGTCAAGACTTGACCCAAKTGGGTCAGCGCTTGGGAGCTGCCTTGCTGGGTGTGGAGTCAGACTTCCTATCTGTGCAGAATCAGGAGGAAGGACAGTCTGGTCATTGTCACAGGATCTTTCCTGTAAAAGAGAATGAGTTCTTTTCTCTCCAAAAACTCAGAGGAGCACCTTCTGATGCAGACCAGTCTCAACCACTTCACTCTGAAAAGAAAACAACAGAAGAACAAGTCGTTACTTCTAAAAAAACAAGATTATTTTAAACAGTAATGGGTTTTTTTTTCCCCTTCTGGTTTCATTGAGTTTGAAAATAAAATTTTAGGTAAAATTGAAATGTGTGTCAGTTCTGAACAGAGAATGTTCACTCTCCAGTCGGCACACATGTGTGTGTGTCCACACACACCACCCTGGACACTTTCCCAAAGGTAAACAACATTTATTGTCTGCTTTTTTGGTTTTGGTATAAATCATGATAAATAAATTTTGAAGCAACATTTTGGATACTGAAGATATCTTACCATTTGGCTGTTCTAACCATAAGAACATCTCTAAAGGGTCAACGTTTTGAATCATGTTCCAGAGAGGGAAAAGATAGGACTTGGCTGAGCTGGGGGTGCTGATGGAGACCCTGGCAGAATACACAGACAGCTCCTTGCTCAACAGCATGGTTCTCTTCATGGTTTATTTTTTCTGTAACTTTTTCCAACTATGCTGTCAGCTTATGGAGGGCAGGGACTGACCTCCATCCACAATGTGGAACATTCCCACACAGAAGCAATACCGGCTGCGTGGAGGAGTGCATGGGTGGTTGGTTTGTACACTACAAGCTACTACAATGGCCAAACCAAATTCACCTGGCCCCCAAACTGTTCACCTACCATCCAGATTCTGACTTCTTTTCTACTTACCATAGAGCAAGAGAGATGCTGGATCAAGCCCCAGACTCTCACAATGAGGTACACTCTGATCATAGAAATCCTGTAGCAAAACTCCCAGTACAAGCTCCTCACTCATCATGTACTTCATAAAGCCGTCATCTTCCCACGGAACCCCAAACTGCAGGTGATAGGTTGCTGTGGCGTTTTCACCACTGAAAGCCAAACCAGAGTCAGTCAGACACAAGCAGAATCATACTGAAATTCAGGAAATCCATCTTATCAACAATATGTGTTTAGTTCTTCATCTTCTTCCTCTAAACAATAGCAAAGGCTGTACTGTCCTGAGAGGATGTACTATCCTAGAAAAATCTTCCCTAGACCCATCACAGAAAGTGTGATACCCAAAGGACTTAAAATCAGCATACTACAGGGACACAGCTACATCAATGTTTACAGCAGCTCGATTCACAATAGCTAAACTGTGGAAGCAACCTAGATGCCCTTCAGTAGATGAATGGATAAAGAAACTGTGGTATATATACACAAAGGAATATTATTCAACATTAAAGAGAATAAAATTATGACATTTKGTAAATGGATTAGGTAAATCGATGGAGTTGGAGAATATCATGCTAAGCAAAGTAAGCCAATCCCCCAAAACCAAAAGGCGGAATGTTCTCTCTGATAAGTGAATGCTGAACCATAATGGTGGGGGGGGGGGGCGGGTATTGGGTGTGGAATGGAACTTTGACTGGGCAAAGGGGAGGGAGAGGAGGGGAGTAGGCATGGGGGTAGGAAAGATGGTGGAATGAAATGAACATCATTACCCTAAGCACATGTATGACTGCTCATATGGTGTGACTCTACATTGTGTACAACCAGAGAAATGAAAAGCTGTGCTCCATTTGTGTACAATGAATCAAAATGCATTCTGCTGTCATGTATAACTAATTAGAACAAATTTAAAAAAAAAAGAAAAAGAAAAAGAAAATGTGATCACAGCCTCCCCCCTCCACCTAGTACTCATCCCTCAGAGTTCACTGGCAGAGGCCATTGAAGGGAGAGACACGACCCACAGTTAAAGAATATGGCATGCTGGCATGTCCTCTGTCCCAACAGCAGCCTTCCACCCTCTGAGGCAAGTCAGGAAGCCTGGTCTCCGCTCCTTGCGTTTTTCCACCTGCCCATTCTCAATGCTACCCCCGCAAGTGAGGGTTAGAGTTATTCAGTTTAACATGCTCTTTATTAAACTTATAAAAGTGTTTAAGGTAAGGCCCATAGYTACCTACCATTGGCTGAGTGCAGGACCCCTGAACCACTAGGCTGCCTTGTGCACCAGCAGAGAACCACACCGCCTGTGTTTGTCCCCAAAGTTGGATTATTTTTTTCTGTTCCTTTTTCAGTTCCAGAGACCCCCCTAAAGCAAGATGACCAAGATTTCCTGAGGAAACTCCAATGAAGAAGAAATCCTAAYTCTCTCATCTTCCTAGAACATATTTTTCCCATTTTCAGAATAAAATTAATCATAGGTCTATCCTCAGTTAATTAGTAGCTTATGCTGCTCTTTGACTCTGATTCAACATTTAGGGTTTTCACAGTTATTCTAATTGTTTGGTTCACGATGACCTACATTATGCAATAAAATAATTAGTAGGTGGTCACAGCTGAGACTACTACTCTAGTGCAAGTTTAAAGACATTTGAGTCCCACCAGCATGAATCAGCCACCGTCCTTGCTAAGGACATGCAGAGAGCTCCCTCTTRTGGACAGAGGTTAAACCAGCCAATAATTGAAACATTTCACAAAGTGGCTGACAATTCAGTCTGTAAACTCTACTATGGCCAAGTAGAGCGCCAAACCCTGTAGATGAAATGAATAAGACAGAATTGGAACTCTGAAGAAGCACAGTTTCAAGAGTGTCACTCAACTCAGGCTGAAATATGCACTTGCAAACTCTAATCCATCTACCCTAATTTGCAGGTGCCATTACTTATCCTCTGATCTCTGCCCTTTAATTATGATTAATGGTGGTCAGTCAGCACCTTGACAGAAAGCCACCCTGCATGCCGTGGGCAAGGACTTRGGAGGGCTAATGAAAAGGTCCAGAGGCGGAATTTCAGAAGACCAGCTGAATGAAAATTTGGACTGCCTAAACCAGCCTGGCTAGCCCATCCTTGTCCCCCATGTCAGGTAACTAGGTGAACTTACACTAGGCTGCATTTTGAGGGGAGAATTTTCAAGGAAGCAGTGAATCCTGTGAGCTCGGTCCCAGCAGCCCACCCACCTCTGGAGTGCGTCTAGCAGCTGATAAGCCAAAGGGCATTTTCCAGATGCCTGCTGGATCAACCTTGACTGAGGTCAGAAAACCCCAGAGACATGAATACATAAGGCAGGGAAGTGCTGTCTCTTGCCCGTGTGCAATAGCGTCCTTTTAGAAGCAATGGCTCTTGTGTCTCATTTCAACATTTTAGAAACTTTTCCTGGCTTTAGAAAAAACAAACATGTTTTTCAAAGATAATTTTTAAATCTAAAATACAAAAATACTTAAGTTTTTTTTCCCCCCAAACAACTTTATTTCTTTTTCTTTTTCTTTTTTTTTTTCAAATTAGTTATACCCCAGATGATGTTCAATGACAGATTCTCTAACACCAAGTCTTGGCTAGATTTCAGGTCATGTTTTACTGGATTTTTTGACGGGTTTTTCCCACTGTCTATCTTTACTCTGATTATATGGTCCCAGCTCCTCTGGACCCATAACCTAGAGCTAGATTCCTGAAGGCTGTGTGAGGGTCTTTTCTCTCCCAGCGTTGCTTCGATCTTTGAATTGCAAGTGGGGTCAAGGGGATGGAGGAAAGCATGCTGGGTCTGATTATATATCTCTCCCTTTTCTATTGGCATTTAGTACCAGTGGTTTATGATTAAAGGGAACAATGTCAAGGATGGCAACATTAAGCAGCATGTGACTTGGGGGACAATTAAGAAAGAGAGAAGGCAGTCTGACACCACCTAGGTTTGCATACTTCAGATCCATTTCGGCCCAACCCCATGGTGTTACCACTGGCTTTAGATGCTTCCTCTCCCAGGTATCCTAATATCACAGTTTGGAAAATGTCTGGTTTTAGAGGGAGATCTCAATATGTAATATATCCTTTGATGGTCACATCCCAGAGACATCTCAGGAACAGAAGACAATAAAGCTTTGCCATGTAAATCTTCTTCAAATTATTTCCAATAGTCTTAATGATATAAAGTCCTAGTAAAATGACCTCTACAAACCTAGACCCTTTTGACTACATTCTAAGCATATTAAAGATCAGCGGGAAATTGAAAAATTAAAAAAAAGTGTATACACATGTGTAGTATATGTAATAAATACACAAGCATAAGAAATCACAACAAACTATTAATAGTGGCTAATTTCGTAGAAGGGGGTATGATTAATTATTGGTAGTAGTGCAGGAGAAAAGAGGCAYAGGTTGACTTATCCTGTAAAAGTTACCTTTTTAAATTACACAAGAAGAATCTAATCCTGTATTGTGCTCTTCAAAGGAGAAATCCAGCATATGGATTATATCATTTCCATCACATCACTATCTGAGATCTATTTCTCTTTCCACTCTTAATTTACTTGTGCATCCATATTTAAGTAGAAATGGTTTACCTGGGACTGGTTTTTCCCCTCTCCATGTGACCTAGTTGAGTTACATAATTAATCTGGGCTTCCTTTCTCTCGTTTGTAAAATTAAAGAATTGAGCTAGTTGATGCCCAAGGAAGTTGTGACACTTGGAAATTCTGTTATTGGTTCCCTTCCTGCTCTGAGGCTCAGGGAAGTCCTCGTAGGTACAGGATACCTGGGGTGAGCCAGAGAGGCAAGAGAAAGAGATCATAATGTTATGCTGCACACTCTTACCTGAAGTCCACTATTTCAACTGATGTGAAATAACGACTCAGAGATGGAGATTTACTGTACACATCTTCAAGCTAATCAAACAGAAAAAAAAAAATAACATTATTGATGATTATCTTCCGCATCACTGGACAAAACAAAACTACCTCTAGATGAGAGATTCCACCCTAGGAATCAACCTAYCTGGGCTGAGAAAGGGAAGGTGTTAGCCTATCACAAACAAAGGCTGAAGTTAGCACTCACTTAAAAGAGCCTCGTTGACAAGGCCCAAGTGACTCCACTGGAATTCTCAACTCCTCTCATGAGCAGTGATGACATCCTATGGCCTGAGTGATGAGGATGGCCAGTGGTCACAGCAGGAGCCCACACAGTCCCCAAGGACCATGGGAAAGAGAGAAAATCCCAAGGTGGGATTGGGGGTGCATCAGCATGGGCCACTCAGCACTGGGAATGTCACTGGCCAAGGGCTTCTTTCTCCCTTCTGCAGAGCTACATTGCAAGGAGCAATGGCTGTGATGGGCCACAGGTGTAGCACTGCCCCCTGCACAAAGGGATAAATCGGGGAGTGGCAAAGATTCAGAGATTTTATTTTATACATGAAATACTGCAAACATGAGAAAAAATTCTGACCTGTGTTCCACCTCCTAGATCTTATGCCTTATATTGTGCTACACAGATGCCCCTTAATTTATGAGGGGCTTCTATCCTGATAAAATCCATTGTAAGCTGAAAATATAAAAAGTAAAAAATGCATTTAGTACACCTATACAATACAAAGTTGAACCTTGTCTATCTGCACTGTTCTCAGAACACTCAGATTGGCCTGCAGTTGGGCAGAATCATCTAACACATGTCTATTGTATAAGAAAGTGTTGAATGTCTCATAGAATTAATTGAATACTACTATTCTGAGAGTGAAAAACAGAATGGGTGTATGAGCGTGCTTGCACACCATCATAGAGTAATCGGAAGAGAAACCATTGTAAATTAGGGACTGTYATTATTGAGTTCAGGCCTTTATTTTGGGAAACAAAATAGGGCTAAAGTGACTTCTACACCCTATTCAATTTTTCCCTCCTCTCTCCCCTAGTGCTAAAGACAATCCTGACAATTTTTCCTTGCATGTTTCTTTAAATTAGTACTTCCTTACATCCTATGTAATAAGAATATATGATTTAATTTGTGCTTTTATTTGAATAAGAAGAGTAACCATATTCTACACAATCTTCTAAGATCTGATTCCTCCCACCCCTTTGTTGGTATGGAACTCAGGGCCTCATGCAAATGCTCTGCCACTGAGCTACACCCCAGCCCTGATTTGTTTTTGTTTTTTTGTTTGTTTGTTTTTGTTTGCTTGCTTGTTTTAAGATGTGTTCTCTCTCTRTTGCCCAGTCTGATCTCAAACTCAAGTGATCCTCCTACTTCAGTTCCAGAGTAGCTGGAACTACAGGTGTGTACCACCACACCTAGCTTAAAACTTGCTTTTTCTTTTCTTCTTTTATTTTTTTTCCACAAAAAATTACATTTGAGATTTATTTGTCAGGTACATCTCAATGAAGGCATTTAGTCTAACTCCTAGGTAGATTCCATCACAGGATTATACCAATGTATCTGTTCTACTGATGGTCTTGTGCATTGCTTCTGATTTTTYCCCTTATTACAAAGTATGCTGAAGCAATTGTCCTTAAACATTTCTGTTCATCTCTATTTGTACATGTAAGGCATGCCCAGCTGTACATGTAATAGTTTCTCTGGGCTAYATACCAAGAAATGGAATTGCTGGATCRAAATAAATCTTGCCAAATTGCTTTCATTTTACTCTTCTCCCCACAATGTATACATGATTCCTTTCCCACATTCTTTCCAAACTTTTAAATTTTTCCAATTTAAGGAATAAAAAAATTGTGTTTCATATTGTGTATTCTGCTTTTCTTACTAATGAGTCTGTTTTCCTGTGTTTCACTCTGAATYGCTCATTAGTCAGTTTCTTTTCCTATCTTTTTCTTGTCTCCCTAAAGTGGTTAGTTTTATGTTATGGATAMGTGCTGTTGATAGTATGTTACAGAATCTTTTCCCAGGCTTTGATTAGTCTTTTCATCACGTATCAGAGATACTAATCCTAACCTCACAATTAGGAGAACATGCAGCTGAACCCATGTACCTTGCATTCCTTCTAAATTTACACTGGAAGGTTAAACACCTTGGTCTCTAGCAGATTAGTTTTAACATAAATCAGGACTGTACTGAAGTCTGGCTACACTCCCGGGAGGCACCTGCCCCTGGGGTTGGAGTAAGACTACAGCCAAGTATCTAAGAGCACCACCAGACCCTCTTCTCCCAGCCTGATTTCAGCACAGGCATTGTTTGGGAAATCTCGCCAGCATCTAGTGGTACATCTGTGCTGAACAAGGCTTGCCCAGCTGCACTGTTAAGGCTCAGTACCTGTTACTTTATCCAATAACAAGCATCAGAAGACACAAAGCAGCTGTGCCCAATCGGGAGCTCACCTGTCTCCTATCCAATTCCGGTGGGATCACACGGAGGCTGTGCTTCACAGCACTCTCCCATCTAATTCACACGGTGAAAACTCAGTCGCTCATTAAGCACAGATCAGAACATTTGCAGTGTGTTGTTTTTAATTTTTTTAAATTAGAGCTTAATGGTTATGCATAGCAGTTGGGTTCATCCCATCAAACTCATACACCCATGGAAATGGATTTCAGCTCATGATCCTCCCTTTTCCCTCCCCCTTTTCCTTCCGTCCCCCTTCTTTTGTTTCTCTCACTAGACTTCCTTTCGCTCATGTATTAATTTGTCTTTGATTGGTTCCTTATGTGATCTTACTCTTCCATCCCGCTTTCCTTTATTTTACTCCAGCTTCTGCATATGAGAGAAAACATTCAACCTTTGATTTTCTGAGTTTGGCTTAGCGTGATAGTCTCTATTTCTGTCCCTTTATGGGAAAATGCCATAATTTCATTCTTTTTATGGCTGAGTAGAGCTCCATTGTGTGCAGAGCTCAACACAATTTCTTAATCCGTTCACCTAATGATGGGCATCTGGGTTGATTCCATAATTTAGCTATTGCAAACATTGACTATTTGTACCTTTCTAATCTTGCTAATACTGTCTAATGGTCACATCCCAGAGACATCTCAGGAACAGAAGACAATAAAGCTTTGCCATGTAAATCTTCTTCAAATTATTTCCAAATTATTTATAAGAACCTGACTTAATAGACATTAATACATCTCCCCTTTTTGCAGGTTAAGAAACCAGCCTTCCAAGATATTAAGAAACCAATAGTACCTTCTTACTCTGCTAGCGAATGGTAAAGGCAAAATTCAATTGTATGGGCAGACACAAAATCTCAGCTTTACCACATTTGACCTCACTACTTAGAGAGGCTGAAGCAATGTAGGAGAGTGGCTCCTGAATATCAGGGTGGGAAGAAACGATGCCCTAGTGACACTAGGGGAATGGTTCTGGAGCTCACAGGAGATGGCTGTTGAGCCAGTCAYCAGAAAACTCGGGAACTAGGAAAGCAGCTTTAGCAGGGATGCTAAATAGAATGAAAGACAGGAGGAAAGTGASGATGCTATAAAGCATTAAWAATATTAGCAATATTAAACAATTATAATATTTCTTCCTTTTGGATTGAGTTTCCTATTGAGAAGGGTTAYGTCTATCATTTCTTCCAATTTTCTCTGTTCTCTCTCCCCACCACCTCCTTCTTATGCTAATTTCTAGAGTCTAGTACTATGCTTTGTTCTAGTAGACTGACTCCTACAATTTTTTTGTACTGGGAATTGAACCCAGGGGCTCTTTACCACTGAGCTACATCCCCAGTCCTTTCACTTTTTTTATTTTGAGATAGTCTTACTAAGTTGCTTACTAAGTGAGGCTGACCTCCAACTTTTTTCTCAGCTTCCCAAGTTGCTAGAATTACAGGTGTGCACCACTGCAAAAATTTTTAAGTGTTCTAGCCATCTATTGCTAGTGTTCACACTAAGATTCTTTTTGCYGAGTACAGTCTCCTTCTATATTTAGGGCATATTTACATTTGAGGAGTTGTTAGTTACACTGTCCAATCTGGGCCCAAAGAAATGGAATAGGGGCTTCCCCAGCCTTTATTCGAGTGTCCCCCACTTTGTTCCTATGAGGCTTGGTACCAACAGAACTAGGAGACCAGTGAGCTAATTAGGAGAGTCTGACTCCATGGCTAAGAGGAATCACCCCTGGGTGCCTTCTCTAGGTTATTAGAGCACCATTGCTATTCCCAACCACGCCCAGGAGGATGCAGTGCACCACATGAGCAGCAGGTGGCCTTAAGCAGCATAACAGCCCCAGCTTTGAGGGAAGAAAACCAGCAATGGGATATTAGAAGGCCCAGAAAAACTGTTAAGAAWAGCAAGGGCAATGACATCACTTTCCAACATACTGGGGCATAATAAAGAATGCAAGTGTGGCATCTGTCCCCAGTTCCTGGCACAGAGTTCCTAAAACCCCATGATGACCTGGTAATAGGGATCCTGGTACATCTCTTATTCTAATCTTTGTTCTTCAGTCTCAGCTCCTAAACACCTTGGAATCTCCTGGGTGGTAGGAGCATCTTCTGTTCTAGTGAGGTGACTCTTGGTGAGCATCTGATTGGAGGCAGGTCACCAGAAACACCAAGCCAGGGTAAAAGCTTGGAACTCTCAGTACCTTCCCCACCACATGGACAGAGTAGGTCTAAAGAGTGATTAAATAATCCATTATGCCTGKGGGTCAAAGACTCCATAAAGATCCCTAAAGCCCAGGGTTGGAGAACTTTTGGTCAGTTAAAYATCCACATTCTGGGAGGGTGGCATGCAGGAGAGGAGGGTTCCGCACCTCCTCCCACATAGCTGCCCTCCTCTGGCTTTTAATCTGTATTCTTTATAAAAACCAGTAAACTGAACTCGCTGAGTTCTGTGAGTTTTTCCAGAAAGGAGGAGTAGTGGRAACCTCTGAGTTATAGCCAGTTGATCAGAAGCCCAGATGACAAGCCCTGGATGCGTGATTGGCATCTGAAATAAGGGAAGTCTTRAGA